TGATGAAGTGATACTAAAAGGTTTAATTATCACTTCATCAGATCAACGTTAGTCAAAGACTAACGTTGATCTGATGAAGTGATAATTAAACCTAAAGACTAGCGTTGATCTGATGAAGTGATAATTAAACCTACAGACTAACGTTGATCTGATGAAGTGATAATTAAACCTAAAGACTAACGTTGATCTGATGAAGTGATAATTAAACCTAAAGACTAGCGTTGATCTGATGAAGTGATAATTAAACCTACAGACTAACGTTATTATTATTTTTGTTTAATTGTTCTTCTTCTGGCTCTTAACTCCTTTAACCTTATTAACCAAAAGAACACCCCCTTCGTTACTAAAATTTACGTGTAAATATATTACTTGGTACTCCAGCAATATTTGTTTACCTAAACATTTGGGTAGGGGATGAGACCAATTTCCTGTCTTCAGACATGTCGTCGACCGGGAACCACCTTCAAACTTCATCCCGTCGAAGCAGCGAAAGTAGATGACCGAGCCGAGAGTCGAAGTGCTACCTTCTAAATATCCATTGTGCAGTACTCCTAGCCGTGGGCAGTCGATTTCTGAAACAAAATGTGATGGTTTAGATTCTATAAAATATATCAGAAGTGAGTTTACAAAAATTAAGGAACATCACATTAACATAGATAATATTCTGATATCAACTTCACTATCGATTTGTTATTACAGAATCTAGGTGGACAGATGGAGCATATTGCTGTAAAAAACAGCGTGTATAGACAAATCAAATGAAAAACGTTAATTTAAATGGAGTTACACATTTTACGTTAGAGACTATGTTATACTTTACTTTTAGAACTGATGATACCCTATTGATGTCGGTTGTAATATCACGTAAATGATTGTGTCAATGTGTTGTTATAGCATTCTCTACAATACGTAAGTTTACAAAGTAACATCAGTTATATAACCTAATCTATTAATTATCCGTATATAGTGTTTCTGTTTGGTTGATCCCCAACAAAACACCTCACATTTACTAAACACACACACACACACAAAATGACTTAAATGTCAACACACCTTTACAAATGGGAATCTCTCCTTCCCATGTCCTGTTCGCTCCACATTTTAGCGTCTCGTTTCCGTCCAGGCGGTAACCATGGCGACATTGAAACTTCACAACTGACTGAAAGGTGACAGCTGTGTAATGCGCTCTGCCGTTTTGTGGGTCTTGGGGTTGAGGACATATTACCGCTGGATAACGAAACCATGTATTACAGTAGGACCAATACAATAAATCAGATTAATCTACGTATTACAGTGGGACAAATAATATAAATAAGATTAGTCTACGTATTACAGTGAGACAAATAATATAAATCAGATTAGTCTACGTATTACAGTTAGACAAATAATATAAATCAGATTAGTCTACGTATTACACTGGGACAAATAATATAAATCAGATTAGTCTACGTTATACAGTGAGACAAATAATATAAATCAGATTAGTCTACGTATTACACTGGGACAAATAATATAAATCAGATTAGTCTACGTTATACAGTGAGACAAATAATATAAATCAGATTAGCCTACGAATTACACTGGGACAAATAATATAAATCAGATTAGTCTACGTATTACAGTTAGACAAATAATATAAATCAGATTAGTCTACGTATTACAGGGAGACAAATACAATAAATCAGATTAATCTACGTATTACAGTTAGACATAAAAATAAATCAGATTAGTCTCCGTATTACAGGGAGACAAATAATATAAATCAGATTAGTCTACGTATTACAGTTAGACAA